GGGATGTTGTCTGGGCCAGTTGCTTTGTGCGGATTAATCCTCCTGAAGGTACTCCTTACTTCGGCTGAGGTCATGCTGAGATGCTCTTCATCCAGTGGTGAGGTGAGTCTGGTGCTGGGTGGTCTGTTCGGGTCTTCAACGCGTGCATAGAACTTGTTGAGGGCATCAGGCAGAGATGGGTCTTTGGGGCATTGTTCGCTCCTTCCTTTATAATCTGTTATGCACTTAATGCACCTCCACATGCTCCGAGGGTCTTGTGAGATGAATTGACCCATGATCCTCTGTGCATTTGTGGCCTTGGCCCTCTTAATACCAGCAACCAGCTCTTTTCTTGTCCTACTCAGCTCCTCTGAGTTTCCAGACCTGAAGGCAGTGTTCCTGGCTGCCAGCAGGGTACACACCTCTGCATTCAGCCAAGGTTTTCTGTTTGGGTAGCTTTTAACATTTCTGATAGTGGAGACGGTGTCAGTACATGTACTAATGCAGACCTGGGCATTGTACGGCCCCAGGGCCACATGCGGCCCTTTGGTTGACTCTGACCGGCCCCCGTAAGGGGAATTACAAAATACATATGTAAACAAATGAAGTTAACCAAATCCAGATATAGATCCTCTCTCACTGATGATGTCAGCTTTGCTTCACATCTCCACCTCAGACCTTCAACCTGACTTTAACATTTCCGTTAAAGCCCAACAGAGACTAAACTTCTCTCACTAAACAAGAAAAAAGAACTGATAAACACCAAATGAGATGTTGAGACTACAAATGTAGGCACGTAAAGAACCGGGACTCGAAATCACAGTTCAGTGACGATCACTATTATATGATGTTTCATAATATTTGGAGTACAAAGACAATATTGTGATATATTTAGAAAGCTAAGAACTTTTTCCAGCAGTATATAAAACTCAAAATGAGTTTTGGGGTGAATGTGACTGAAAATGATCACTAATATAACGTCACAAATGGTAAAAATGTTAACAGTTTACCATTGTACTGTGAAATTTAATTGAATAAATTAAATTTTTTGTAAGGAAACCTCGCTTTTTCGTTGCTTAATCATAACAAATACTCTTACCAGCTTGTTAAAACAGTGCTATGTACTGCGTTTAATAATGAAATACTATTATTATGCAGTATTGAGTTAACTTAAAATCAGTTCTCTCTTGTAAATGAGTCCTCGAGGCTCAATGGGATTTACCTGTCTAAATAAAGGTTGAATGAAAAAGTCATTTGTGCCAGCCCTCCACAATATTTGTTGGTTCTCATGTGGCCCCATGGAAAAAATAATTGCCCACCCCTGTACTAATGTAACCCAGAACTGAGGATGTGTATTGGTCCAGATCAAGCGATCCTCCATTTTCAGCAGCTTCTCTGAAAACCTGCCAGTCTGTTCGGTCAAAACAATCTCTCAGTATGGGGCCACTGTCCTGGATCCAGCATTTAACTTTCTTTTGTACCGGTCTGGAGCGTCTCAGCAGGGGCATGTAAGCAGGAGCCAGGGAGATTGAGATGTGGTCTGACAGTCCTAGATAGGGGCGGGGTTCGGCTTTGTATGCATCTTTTACGTTCGTGTAAACACGGTCCAGCGTGTGGTCTCCACGTGTTGGAAATGTCACATGATGATAAAAGCTTGGGAGACAGTCTTTTAGATTCATGTGATTCAAGTCTCCGGCTGCAACGTAAAGAGCTTCGGGGTGTTTGCTCTACAGGGAGCTGATGATATCATGAAGCTCCTGCAGTGATTCATTAGCATTAGCGTCCGAAGGAATGTAAACGACAGTGATGAAAGTCACCGTGAACTCGCGGGGCAGATAATGTGGCCGACATTTCACTGTTACTTGCTCCAAAGCCTTTGAGCATGAGCTATTTACAACAGTACAGTCTGTGCACCAACTTTTACTCACGTAAATGCACACTCCGCCCCCCCGTGATTTCCCCGTTAGCTCGCTGCAGCGGTCCGCTCGAAAAAAAAGTCTGTCATCCAGCTGGAAGACTGTGTCCGGCGTTTCGCTTGTAATCCACGTTTCTGTGAGGCAAAGCACCGCACACTTCTTCACCTCTTCTGAGGCGCCCGCTCTCAGACGAAGTAAATCCACCTTTTTGTCCAACGAGCGGACATTCGACAGAAAGAGAGACGGCATGGGGAGTTTACCGGCTTTAGCGTTAGCTCGTAGCCTCACCATAACCCCCGCCCGGCATCCTCTCCTCTTAAGCCGGGAGCAGCGCTTCCTCTTCTGCCCGCTGGAACGCCTCTGCTGCAGCTTCCAGGTAGATGACTTTAAGATCTGCATTCTGCCGAGCGTAGTTTTGAATTTGTTGCTGATTTCTGCTATGTTTCGTGGCAAATCCGCTCCTATTCTCATCAGTTCGGTTCGGCTATAGTTCACACGCATAAATCGCGC